CCCCTCCGAGCTCTCGGCCGCGGTCGACTTTGCCGAGGAATGGGTATAACGCCTATCCAGGGTATTACGAACAGGTGGTCAAGATGAGAAATGAGGAACAGGCGAACGGCACGGAAGGCGGTGGTGAAGATTCAGAGGCGCCTCAGATGAGCAGTAGGAGAGTTTTGGATAGTGCTCCAGTTGTGGAGTCTCCTTTGCCGCGCGTTGTGGAGCCGGTGAGCTCCCCACAGGTCGTCGAGTATGAATACGTGCCGTACGACAAGAAAGCGATGCTCAGTGAGTTCAACTCCGCAGGGCTTGAGAGGGAAGGAGGTAGGTCTTGGACAGTCCAGCCTGCTGACCAATGGACGGCAATGCCGTGGGGGAATTCGTCGTCTGCGGCTGAGGAGTATCTTGAGGGTCGAGGTGGCATTAGCTGGGAAAGGGAGGCGGGGGAGGTGCTCGAAGACTTGCCGGGAGGGAGTTCCAGACGGCGATGCGAAAGCGATGATTTTGCTTCTGAAGGTGGGGAGGGTTCCAGTAGTGAGTCGAGCAGCAGGTCGGCTTGTGGGAGTGCGAGGAGATCATTTGGCGAAAGATATTCTGCTGCGCACAGGGAAGAATTTGGGAGGCGAAGAGGTAGAGATGATCGCTCAGAGGGAAGGAGCTCGGGAGGTGGTAGAAGGAGACGAGGGAGTAGCTATGACAGTCGTAGGAGGAGCAGTTGGAGCTCTGAAGAAAATCGTCGTGGTGATGGAGGCGGCGGATTCCGGAGAAGAGGGAGTGAACGCTCTGATGGTAGTGGCGTTGATTCGCGTTCTTCTGACGACGGTGATGATGATGATGATGATCGGAATTCTGAGTATTCGGATGGATCAGGTCGCACATGTTCGTACGACTCGGGTAGTAGTTGGTACGCCAGAGAGGGGGGTAGTTGTAGTAGTAGTAGTAGTAGTAGTAGTAGTAGTAGTAGTAGGACGGGCAGTTCTGTGCGGTCCAGAAATGATTGGAATAGGGCAGGGAAAGACAATTCGAGAGGAAGCCGAGAGTATTGGAATAGTCCAGGAAGCGAGTGGAACCGCTATGCGGAGAAGTCATTACCTTCGCAGTGTTCTCCCGGTGGGAGGCAGGAGGGAGGGAAGGGAGGACAGCGGGGACGCCCACAGTGGGCGGATGAGATACGTTTTGGGCAGCCGAATGGGGTCCTGCCGAGTTATAATCAGAGTAAGTGGGAGTTCGGCGAGGAGTGGTGTGAGTTTTAATATTCGGTCGCTGGTCACTCTCTAGCTTTGAAGGTGAAGTTGTACAGGAATATAAACGAAAATATCTTTTTTGGAAATTTTATTTTGATCTTAGTCTCTGATAATATAAATATGTGTCGATCCGATATGCAAATTTAGGAAATTCGTGGTATTTTCCGAGATGGATAAGAATCGATCTGAAACTATATCGCATAAACAATGTAAACATTGCTATGAACATGTGATGTGATAAAAATAACCTTTCGAGACTGCTAGCGACAAGTTGTTCACTATCATTAATTCCGGAATAGAAGACACACATTCTTCACATTTGTATAGTATCAAATTGGCACGCACTGTAGAACTACGCGATCATCTCAAATCAGAACTCATCGAATTTGCTCACTATTGACATCCCCCTGACAGATACGGTCAAACCGAGTGAAATATTGGGCAATTTGGGGAAGACCAAACCGTCCAGTCCGCAGGCCCCAACCTCCCCTGTCTCCCTCGAGGACCTTCCCACGGCCACACCAGGGAAAGCGGCGGCGACGGTGGACCCTCGTGGGGATGCACTTGGTGGGATAAAGAAGGAATGGGTGTCGGGCGTATTCAAGTGGATTGCCAAGTTGGACGGTTTGTGGTATATGCGAGGGAACGCCACTACTGTCATCAAGTACCGCTTCAAACCGGTGAGTTGGTCGCCTGATGATTCCGCCTGGTTCAATGTGGGTTAAGTTCGTTCGGGAATGGTATTACTTATCTCGTCTTGGATAGTGAGAGGCTCAGAAGTATTCTGATATTGTGAGGTTATGGATCCTTGTTAGGAGCATATAACGGTTTGAGCTGTAGCTCTCTATTCTCTGTGCAGCATAAACTATGCTATACTATAGTAAATTCATATTATGCTGTAATATGAATTCATCCGTGTTATATATGTACATGATAGGCTACTAGTAGTGGTATTCACAATTCCATATCGCTACTCGTAGAAAAACTGTATGATTAAATACATCATCAGTAATGATGTATTTGTGACCATATTAATACTTTCATATATATTATATATCTATTCTATTTCTAACGGGCCCATCGCAACGTTACTTCACCGAGTGTGGCTGACAGTAGCTTGTTACTGTGTGACACGCAGTAGTCGAGACTGTCACGGCGAATGAGGATCTTTGAGTTGGAAATTCTGTCAGGTGGATGCATTAGCAGACGATAGGGGAAGGTTCATGGCGGTTCAAATAGAGGATAGCCCAGCGAATGTTGGCTACTTGATACTGAAAGAGTAGTTTTATCATGTTGGTTCGCCATCGGACCTGTTTTGTATCTATCGTGGTTGAACCTAAGATATGCGCCCTCAGGCCTGAGTCTCGGCACATGAATAACTACTTCTATACGGACTTGGTGTCATTGGAAGATCTCCGACCTGCTGTGAAGGAGAAGGGTGTACTATGGCAGCTCACTGAAGGTAAAGTCAATTATTTTTCCCGGAAAATTTTACAAAATTTTTCCTTTTTCTGCTGTCTTCTCTGGAATGCGCAGTACAATAATCGTTTTTCCCTCGTTGGCTCCGACGTGCGTGGGATTAGCTTAACTGAAGATCTCGCTCTTGAAATTGGCTGTTTTCTGCAATGATGGTATTTTATGTGGGAGCATTGTTGTCTTTCAGGATGCTTCAACTCCAACTTTGACACACTGACATTCATCCGACCATCAGATGATCCCAAAGTGAGTGGAAGAGAAAGGTATATTCGTCATAGCAATTAGCTCACTCGTTCTGGGGGATTGGGAGCGACGATGCGGTTGGCTGTTTAGGCGAATAGGAGTGAAAAAGTCGACGTGGTCAGTTTGTGAATATATCACGGCTTAGAGAAACGCCGTCATGATTCATCACCAGGCGTCTATGAATTTCTCTCTTTTATTTTCTGTGAAATTTTGTGGTGCATAGATTGTTGTTTTTTTTTCCAATCTTGCAGAGTGGAGGGACTCAGTGGCTCGTATTTGACCGACAGCCCCGGAAGAAAAGCGATACACCCGATAGCAGGGAAAGTCGTCGGTCTTCGCAGCAACAACAACAGCACGTTGTTACCCCTGAGGCCCCTCATAGTGGCCGACATGAAGACGGTGGAGGCGATCGCTATGGAGACTGGACACATTGGAAAAAGAGTGACAGTGCGTGGCAATGGGATGACTATAACAAGTCGTATGAAGGAGAAGGGAAGTGGAGGAACCATCAGAAAGGATGGGGACAGGAGTGGAAAAAAGGGGAGACTCGCTTTAAGGGCGTTGTGGATTGGAATAGGGTAGAGTACCATCCTGACTGGCGGAGGTTCACCGGGGAGTGGTATGGTTTCAAGCAGTATGGGGAAGGTGAGTGTAAATCCTTCACTGTGCGCCGCGTGAGTGTAGCTTTTGTCAGCGCCTCGGCCGTCGTTCAAGTCATACGAACTCCCGGGCCCTCACAAGGTGAGCTTATCGCTGGGGAATTAATGACTGATGTGCATGCGTATAGTACAGTGGGCCGCAGAGTACAATTTCGCCGTGATGTATTAACATATCTAATTTGAAGAGCTACGACTGCTGACTCGTGGTTTGACATTCTCGATAATCTATGCGAACGTTCTCATAGGCTCGGTGTATGCAACTTAGTCTTGATGGTGATGTGGTTGAGAGGGGACCTATTGTATAGGGTGATTATTGGTAAACTGATCGCACGAAGAGCTGGCACAGTTGTTGGCTGAATATTTTTGGAATGATTCAGATCATTTCTCTCAGTTCGAATGTCACTGGTATAATGTTGGTCATTATCACAGTGACACTCGAATGCGTCAAATTTTGGTTTCGATTTCGAGTGAATTTCGCAAGGAAATGGCACTTTCCTCATCGTTTCGCTACTCGGCGTCACGAGTGATGAGAATGGCAACCGATAATTTGCTCGGGAGCGCTGCGCAACTCTTTTGATCTTCAGGATGACCATTTGATCGACATGGCGACGATACTATTCGTATACGGCTTTCCGCGTAGCTACAGCGAAGACGACCTGAAGGAAGCATTCTCGAAATTCGGCGAAGTGCAGGAGGCTAAGGTAAGGACAGTACGATCGATTCGTTACATCAGCATATAAAACCGAAGACATGACATTATCCTTGTGTATTGTTCCTATTGGTTCCTTGGGCTCTGATTGGTTGTGATAGAATGAAATCATTACTCATAATTGTATGGGAAGGTGTATTGATAGGTGAAGAGGAAGTGGGGTCATCGAGGGTATGGAGCTGGATATGGGTGGATAAGATACGCCAATCGCGATGAGTGTGAACGATGTATCGCGGCAACCAAGAATAAAATGACCTTTCAGGGTATGAACTATCCAGCTAAGGTGGGCTCTCGAGGATGCTAGAGTTCGCTTGGACTTTTTGTGGAAGTATTGCGACGCGCAATAACTGCTGGCATAATATCAAACCAACAATTCTGCTGGTTTTCGAACTTCTCATGCTCGGCTTTTCTCGGATTCATCGTGAATCCTCATTTAGGAGTTCGGAGAAAAACTAGAAGTCGATGAATGCAATGCTGATCTTTTCAAATCGATCGAATAATCGATTGAGTATATATGATGAAGTGAATGATTGTAAACAACTGCGTTATCCCTGATTTACACGGCTTCGGCATTATAGTCTGTTCCAGGTTCGACCAGCGATGGATAAGGACTTCCATCTCGAATATAGAGACAAGTTGTATCCCGAGGTGAGCAGCCTTGCTATAATCGATCGCCTGATCGATTATGGTCGTTGTTAGGATATGGCCAGAAGACGGGGTATTGGTTGAAGTGCTGAAAAATATCGAGTGCATCCCAA